CAGTGACCCTATTGGTGCTCTGGGACTGGAGCATTCATGGAGGAAAAACATTGCAGCAGGACCTTAGTTGTTGCTGGACTAGAGACCCAGGCCAGCATCTGGGAGAGGAGTCCCAGGGCCAGGCTGACCTTGGAGCTCAGTAAACAGGGCCAGAGCCTGCCTGGGATAGGCAGCTAGAAGCCGGGAGTGGAGGGCTGCCGGCTAGGAGTCAAGCTCAGCAGCCAGGACTGGGGTCGGGGTCAGGGTCAGTGGGGGGTACAGCCCAGGGGCTCATGCTGGCAGTCAGGGTTGGAAGCTAAGGGCTGCTGGCGAAAGGGAGAGAGCAGAACCTGGCAGCTGGGAGTAGAGTCACAAGGGTGCCAAACCAGGGACGTTCAATCTGTAGATACATTGATGGAGGGTGGGTCTATCAGGGTTATTAGCCAGGATGGGCAGAGTCAGTGTCCCTAGCCTCTGTTTGCCACAAACAACAGGAATGGGCACCAGAGGATGAATCACTTGAAGTTTATCTGTTCTATTCACTGGCATTGGTCATGACTGGAGGACAGGATCCTGGGCTGTGATCTGACCTAATGTGGACATTCTTGTGTTCCTATTTGTGTCAAGGTCTATTTTTTTAATGAGTTGGAGCTGTCTGAACTGTTTGCAATTCATATTATTTAGCCAAGTTTGTTACATTTCAGATGTCTTCAGTGTTCTGCTTACAGTGTGGTTGTGAATCATTCAGCATGTGTTCGGCTAATTGGGCTTCTCTAGTTTCTCAGAATGACTCTTTTTTGCTTTGCATAAGGAGACATTTTGTTCCCAGTTGGGTGAGGGAGATTGGTTGCTGCTGGCCTAAAAAAGGCAGAACACTCTGCATCACCATCCAAATAGCTGCTTAGAATGTTAAAAGCCTATTTTCACCTGTCTGATATAACAGTGGTAATGTTAATAGAATGCACTTTTTGGTCTCCCCAAAAGTGTGTGTAACCACATCAGAAGTCAATGTCTGCTTTCCCTTGGCATCCATCCTCCAGCTTTACTGACAGCTAACTGAGCACAAACTTTCATTCTGTGATTGTTAAACAACACATTTGCCTAAGCTAATTAAACCTCTCTCTCTCCCCAAGCCCTTATCTAATGAACAGTGACAAGGCTTGGAGGCGGAGGTTTGTGATCCCTCAACTTTGAGGTACCAGATAGAAAGGCATTGGAAAATAAAAACCTAAACAATAGTGGATCTCCAGATCTAATCTTTAGTCATGTTTCCAAAGGTACTTATGGGATCTGTGTCTTATACAACTGTTGCTGTAGTGTAAGCTTCTCATGTCAATAAAGTATAATTGTACCGGATTTGTAGGCCACCTACACTGACAGGAATATTAAGAGTACTTACACTGCACATCCCCCTAACATGGGTATAAATAGCTAGTGTACTTCTCAGATACATTTCTCAATCTATTGTCAACAGCCAAGCCCTAAGATACAACTGGATTTGCTCCAATCCCACAGACAGAGACAAACACCTACTGGATCTATATGGAACATTCTTAAAACTGAAATGCCCACCTGGAGAAGTGAAAAAACAGATCGACCGAGCCAAAAAAGTCCCCAGACACGAACTACTTCAAGACAAGCCCAAAGGAGAAAACTACAGAACTCCTACTACTTCTCATCACCTACAGCCCCCAACTTAAACCCCTCCAACACATTATCCACAATCTAGAACCTATCCTGGAAAACGACCCCTCACTCTGAAGCCTTGGGGGAAAGGCCAATTCTCATTTACAGACAACCCCCTAACCTGAAACAAATTCTTTCCAGTAACCATGCAACACACCTCCATCATAATCATCCAGGAACCCACCCCTGCAATCAGCTCTGGTGCCAACTCTGCCCACACGTAAATACCAGCTATTTCATCACTGGACCCAACCACATCAGCCACCAAATCAGAAGCACATTTAATTGCACGTCCACTAATGCGATCTAAGCCATCAAATGCCAGCAATGCCCCACTGCGATATATATTGGCCAAACTTGGATAGTCTCTATGGGAAAGAATTGGATACAAATGAGATATACGAAAAGGCAATACACAAAAACCTGTTGGAGAACACTTTAATCTGCCTGGACACTCATTAAAGGATCACCAAGTCGCTGTTTTGTTTCAGACCAATTTCACAAGCCAAATACACAGAGAAGGTTTGGAAGTTAACTTCATTCACAAGTTTAATTCTTATGCAAATGGTTTGAACTGGGATATCAGCTGGCTCGCACATTATCTTAATGACTTAACCAACCAATTAAGGTGCCTAATGGTCCTTATCAACCTCTTGTAACTATTTAGTCTTTAAGGTGCTACTAGACTATTTGTTGTTTTTAAAGTTTTTCCTGTTACAGACTAACTCGTCTGCCCTTCTGAAGCTTATGTACTCACTGTGTCTCTCTTTTTCTTCCTCCCCTCTTTTTTTTCCTTTTCTCCTTCCCCCTCCTCCTTCCCTTCTTTATTCTGGGATCAGAACTTCTAACACTCCAGTCATCTGAAGAAGTAGGTTGTGCCCACGAAAGCTTATGATGCCTTTAGTCTTTAAGGTGCTACTAGAGTATTTATTTTTTAAGTGTAAAGGTAGGCACTACTTAGCCAAGTAAAGTAACAACCAACCCGTCCCTTTGGGTGTATACCCTATGTGGCTCTCTATTGGCGCAAGCGTTGCCTCCCCACCTTTGCTGCTGTTTTTAACAGTGCAGCATCCCGCAGTCTCCCTTCTGCTGGAACCTTTCCCTGCCACAGGGAGGAGGCTGCAGGGAAAGGCTGTACACGGCTGAATATAACTCTGCCATGGATGCCATCGCCAATGCAGACAAGGCCTTAGTTAAATTAAATGGTAACCTTAAAGACCTTATTTGTATTTTAGTAGCACTTGTGGCTCTGAGATTGGGCCCTCAAGGGGCAAGGTTGCAGGAGTCACACATAATGAGAGACCAAAGAGCTTACAATCTAAAGGGCAAGACAGACAAAGGACAGGGAGAGGAAAAAGAATCGTAGAGAAGTGTAGTGACTTGCCTAAGGTTACAAAACACCGCAGTGACAGAGCTTAGGTTTTCTAATGCCCAGTCTATCACCTGTCCTAGACCATAGTGCCTCTCATTATAAATACAAATGCTTATACTTTTATTTGGATTTAATGATTTCCTGTGCTTGTTCTTTTAAGACTTTCTACAGGTTTGCTTTGGAGATGGTGGTCATGAACAGGGTGTGCAAGATTTTCCGGCAGGGATTGATGGGGTTCAGAGGATTTCAGTTCATTGATATGGCTGCCCAAGAATCCCTGACCTTTGGTATGGAAGAAGTAAGGGATTTTACAACATAGAATTAAATTATCCTCTTTCTTTTTTATATGATTTTTCATTATCTTCTGTTCAAATGTACCAGTTACCCAGGCTTCTGTGAGCATTAAAACCTGACCAATTGCCAACACAGAAAAAGCTCCATTTTAGAGACTAGTGGCATACAATTAACCCTGCATTGCCCACTATGTGTACAAATATATGTAAATAAATAGTTTTTCACAGTAAATCTGATGGAATTTTATTTTAAATCCTTTTTCGTATGGTTTTTATTGAACTAAAGTTAGAATATGTGTGTACAACAGTTTTACAGAAGCTTGCCTTATCACTGAAATGTTTGTGCATTTCACTAGCTCAGTGACACTTCTAACGCAATGTCTAACCTTTTGCCCATTCCTCTTTTATTCAGGATAAGAAGTGTACCAAACTGTCCTTCGATCACAATACGTTCCAGATCAGAAAGGTCTGAATGCACTTTCTCTTGTTTTACAGCTGGGTCTCCTTTAATCTATAGTGCAAGACACTGAAATATTGTAAAGGTCCCTATGTGACAGGAGCAGGAATTTGTGAGTTACAGCAAACGCAGTGAGGAACTCCCTCCTGCCATGAAGAACACTTCCAATTGTCCATCTATTAAACCTTGTTTGTCATCTGATGTCATTCTGAATAATTCCAAAGAAACCATTTCACAAATCTTAACAAATATATAGACTTTGAGTGTGACACAGACATAAGCAGTTTAATCAGAAACATTCTTCAGAAAATACTGTGCCTGCATAGACTTTGTGTAGCCAATGGCAGTGGTGGCATGGATCACTTAGCCACTGTAAACAGTTGTTTTCCTTGTCTCTGCTTGGGCTTTGCATTGGAAGAAATACATCGGTTTTTGGACACTACTGGCTGAGTTTCAAGTGAAATGAAACACAATTTGGGATTCTGTTATGTCTCTTGACGATGTTCAGTCTTCGGAAGTTGCAGGTTCTTTTTGTCTTTTTTTTCCCCTTGATTTTAAATGCCTTAATTTAATGGGTATATTATTTTTTGCCAGGATCGCTTTCCTCTTCGGGCAATCCAGATAACCAAGAAGAAACCGGAATGGAGAACTGAGAAGGAAATAAAGTTATTACAAAGCTGGTTGCAGTTTGTGGAAAGCTACCGAAGATATAGCCTGACACTGCAGCTGCTTCTGGCTAAAGTGATTCGCTTTGAACGGTAATTGTTTTTGTGTACTATTTCTTTTAAAGCTGTTTTTAGAATTGTATGGATTTCAAGCTTTCAAATGATCCCTTTTAAGCAAAAATTAGAACAATTACACTGATAAATCTCCATTTATCCTCAGTCTCTTGTATGTACATTAGCCTGAATGATGACTGTGTTTTTGCTGTCTTCATCTGAAGAAGTGGGCTGTGCCCACGAAAACTCATGATACCATCTACATGTTTTGTTAGTGTATAAAGTGCTACCAGACCATTTGTTGTTTAAGTTTATCTGTGTAGTGAGTGACACATTAATCTCACTTACACTCTAGAGTAAGATTTTTCAGCACTAATTAAAGAATGTGGATATTCAATTCTCATAAATATGAGTAGGAATTGGGCATTCAGATCTCCTAGAGAAATTTGAGACTTCAACCAAAAATGTTTAGGTTAAGAGCTTTTCCAGGTTTAAATTGTATCTGTCTCCACTTCTTGCTCTTTGGTCCTTCTTGCCTTTCTGTTAGAGGTTTTCACATGTGCTGTATTAAAGGGGGTACATTAATGCTGCAAACAGAATAATGGTGTTCCCATGTGGAACTCCTTCAACATGAATTTATTCCTGCCAGAGGTAGGAGACTGATCTCCACAAAGCATAGGGTGCCAAGGTCAGGGAGTGAACACAGTAAAATGTGTTAACTATGTCCCATTACCTTTATGCTGGAAATCATTCTCCATGGCTCTGGAGCCAAACGTGAACACCATGCTACCTTTGAGTGGATCTGACTCCTTGTGCACCTCTCTTCCTGTGTGCACTTACCTCTGAATTTGGCCCTTAGTATGTATTTGTGGTGGAGGCTCCCCTCCCGCTATGATTGTTTTTCCAGACTTTGAGAAGATAGGAACTCACTGAGGAATCACTCCAACACACAGGTCTATTACAGAGCCTTTACCAGCATGTAGAAAGCCTCAGTGTCATTGCAAAAGTAATTAGTCCATGGGAGTATGAGACAGGTCTAAAAGGAATTCTATCTGTTACAAAGAGTCTTAGTGACCCCTTCTCACAGGGTTCAACCCACCACCACAGCACGTCCTGCTGATCATGCTGGGAATTAGCAGAACCAACCCCCCAGTGAGCCCTCTACTAGTGATGTCTCACCCCTGTTACTTCTGTTCCATGCCCTGTCAGGACCTGAGTCCATCTTAATCTGTGGACTCTGCTCACTCCAGAGGCAAACTGCAATCTGTCCTGCCCATCTTCATCACTAGCAAGTGTACGGGAAAGAAAAGGGGGACAGGCCCACCCACTACCCTGGATCCTGACCCAAGGGCCCTTTAGTGGCAGTCTCTCACTGCCCCTCATATAACTGTACTACTGCCTGCTTCCCTGGGTCACTTCCCCAGCACCTTTGGTTCCCGCAAGAAGTGCTTTCCTCTCAGAGCCTCAAGTCTGCCAGACTTTGCAAAGCCATTCCCAGTGCTAGCTGTGGAGCCCTCTAGGTAGGAAGCCAGCCATTCTTCCCCCTTGTGCTCCTTGTAGCAGACCTCCCCTGCCCTTTTACCAGGTTCAGCTAATTATCTGTAGCCCCACCTATGGCTGTCTCACTCAGCCGCTCTAGGTTAGTTTTAACTCTTGTTGGGGCAAAGCAGGACACATCCCTCCATCCTTAACTCCTTTTAGCCCTAAATTAAGGCACCCTCCTCCCATTGGGCAGTGGCTGATTCTTATATGTGGTGCAGGCTCATGCACTCGGGCTTCCCTGTAAGCATGATCCAGCGCATCAGTTCCCTTTGGGATTCTTGCAGTACAGCATGTGCCTCTCCTGCAGCTCTTACAGCTCCTCCTTGGCTGACACCTTGCCCCCTCTCCCCAACCTCTGCAGTTGGAGGAGCCCTCAGGCCAGCCAGCGCTCAATGAGGATAGAGAAAGCCAGCTTCTCCTGCCTGACCACCCCGAGCTAAACAGGCCTGTCTTCACAGCACTGGAGCACATGTTTATTCCTGGAGGATGATGTTGAGTATTTAGTGTTTTGATGGCCTCACAGATTTCATGGCTTTGTATTCCCTTCAAGACCTTAAATTCCATTGAAACAAAAGACAGGACTATGTAGCACTTTAAAGACTAACAAGATGGTTTATTAGGTGATGAGCTTTCTTGTTAGTCTTTAAAGTGCTACATAGTCCTGTTTTTTGTTTCAGCTAGACTAGACTAACACGGCTACATCTCTGTTAAATTCCACTGAATCAGTGGTGTAGCTAGATTATGTTGGAGGACAGTGTAACCGGGTTGTCCATCAGTGGTCACGGGGTGCCCCCAGTTCATGGGCCACTGCCCCGATCGGCCCCGAGTCGCCCCTGTTCCCGGCCTCTACCTCTCCGTTCCCACGGTCCACTCCCTGTGATCGGCTCCCAGCGAGCTCGTTGGCCCAGTCGGCCGCTTCGATTGGCGCCCGGATCTCCACGTCGCCGCTCGGAACTGTCTGTCTGCCGAAAGCCACCGCCACTGGGTTTCTCCACCCAGTCCCCCTCCTCCGAGGGTCAGCCGCCCGCGTCGGTTGATTCCCCTCCAGCTCCTGGTGCTGCACTGCCTTCGGCAGGGTTCCTCGCGGGTCCTGTGGAGGAGGCTGAGAGCAGAATCTCCCCTGCTTTCCCCTGGCCTTCTCCCTCTCGCGCCCTTCCTTCTGCCCTTTTGAATTCCCCGCTCGGTGTCCTGCTGGTCCCCGTCTCTCCTTGGGCCGCCCCTGGACTCCTGGGTCCTAGTGCCCGCCGGCTAGTACCCAGGCCGACCAGCGCCTGCGTGCAGACCGCGCCAGTTTCCCCTGGCTCCGCAGCTTGTGCCACCGAGCCGGACCCCCGGCGCCAGCTCACCCTCTGCGCAGGGCGCGGTGCCTTGGCTCCCAAGGCCAGGAGTGTGGGGATGAGTTCCCCCATCACAGATAGAATAGAGAATTTGCCCCAGTGACTTCTGCATTTCATTGCAGTGCCTTCAGAAAATGTCACTCATGTTCTTCAGCCCTAGTTTCATTTGCTACTTCCCCCTCTTTTGGCCATCACTCTCTTCTCCTACCTGGAAGAACAGAGGAGTTTCCTCTGTACAGTGAATTCTTCCATAGGATAATCAGGGTCTCATTAAGTGATGGGTTCCCTCATAGTGTGCCTCGCTGTGAGGGGACTCGTGTTATGGTGCTTTTATTTCATTGTTTGACTGCATTATAAAAGATGTAATGATGTATGTTTCTATGAGGGGTGTGGCACTGGAAGGGATTGGGCTCCACTGTTCTCATAATTCTAAAACTCCTTTCATTTCTCCCAATTCAATGTCAGCTTCTCTACAAGCCTTGACAGCTCAACTGCCAGCCTTCTCATTAATGGAAGTCTGGATTGGACTGTTTCTGCAGCAGCTTTATTAACACTGTTCATAGAAGAACAATGGTTCTCAAACTGGGGGTCAGGATCGTTTCTAGTGCGGGCTCAGACTTGTTTGGGGCTGGGGCCAAAGCCCAAACCCCAAAGCCAAAGTTCAAGGGCTTCTGCCCTGAGTGGTGGGACTCAGACCATGGCCACCCAATGCGGGGGTTAAGCCCTGGGATTTCAGTCCTCCTCACCCTGGATGGTGGAGTGAGCTCTGGCTTTGGCCCTGCCACCTGGGGCAGCTGGGCTCAGGCTTCAATCCCCCCTCCTGATGTCATGTAATAATTTTTGTTGTAAGAAAGGGTCACAGTGCCCTGAAGCTTGAGAACCCCGCCAGTAGAGTAAGCGGAGGCACTCCTTCCCAGAAGCTGGACACACCTCTTCTGCAGGGTCTGTCCTGAGGAGTGACTGACAGAGAGCATGAACTGAACTCAAGTTGCAGAGGCAATACCAAGAATGTTCTTTGACCTGTGCAAGCAGTTATGCTCCTGGTGGCACTTGTTTGCCCTAATATAGGTTTCTGGGGAAATTTTCATGTACATAAAACAGATTTCAACAGAAAGCTGCCACATAAACCATTTTGAGTTAGAAAACTGAGCACTCTGGAGTTCCGATCTTAAGTTCTCCAGAGTTCTGGGGTTCCAGTTCATCCCTGCTCTTGAGAGGGAGAGACCCTCGCTACCAGATGGATCCAAACTCCCTGAAAGATTAGCAATGCTGGCAAGGGAGTCTAACCTGGAGAAGCCTCAAGCCAGGCCCCTTTCTGTAAGGTGGGAATAGAATCAGTGTTTCTGTTTTCTAGGTTTGGACGCAGAAGAGTCATCGTAAAGAAGGGGCACTGTGGCCAGAGTTTCTACTTCATCTACTTTGGTACTGTTGCTATTACTGAAGATGAGGATGGGAGCAGTGCCTTTACTGATCCAGATCCAACTTTGCTTCGTAAAGGTGCTGGATTTGGAGTGAGTGATGCTGATAGTAAAACTTCTTTTGTCTAAGTGTGGAAGGGGAGTTACATGCTTACTAAACAATGAAATATAATAATCAAGAGTTCTGGAAAGAAGATACGCTCTCATGTTTCAAGACTTACAGTAAGCTAACTATTGGAGGGCTTGGAGGAAACTTTCCTTGGGAGTAGAATATTTCATACCACATTCTCCAGAGTTTCCTGTTGGTGACAGGTGCTAGGTTAGATAATTATATAACATCTATCAATAAAGTTAATGTTTGGACTATAAAGTTGGAGGATGATCTCCCAGCAATAGCTCAATTTTTCCTTTTTCTATTTATATAGGAAGTTGCTCTTTTAAAGGCCAGGCGGAGAATTGCTACAGTTGTCTGCATGGAGGAAACGGAACTATTGGTGGTGGATAAAGAGGACTTTTTTGCTAATAAATTAGATGAGGAGCTTCGGAAAGAATCACAGTATCGTTTCAGCTTTTTTAAGTAATTTCTTCCATTGAGATCACTCACACCTACCTCTGCCACTTCTTTTTTACTTGCAGAATTGTTTGGCTACTCACCTACAGTATAAGCCATTCTAATTTTAACAAGTGCCCAAACAATATGGTGACTTCGGTTGTATGCAACGATTCCCTGCCTTCACTGAATATTTTAAAATGAGTAGTCCTGTGGCATCTTAACAAAAATATTAGATCTTGAGCTGTTGTGGGTAAAACCCACTTGATCACATGAGAAGTGGATTTTACTCACAAAAGCTCATATCTAATATATTTGTTAGTCTCTAATGTGCCACAGGACTATTTGTTGTTTCACTGAAGATATTACTGCAAATGAAATAGCAGTCATTGTAGAGGGACATAGGTTAATGGATGCTGGTTTTTTGTGGCTGTTGCAGTTTTACAGCTTGATCTCATGTAGTGCAGAGACTTGCATACAGTTGTATTGAAGGAATATTCTGATGAGTACAGTTTCATTTTATCTTGAATGAAATCAGAGGGAGAAAACCATTATGAATGGCCTAGAGCACTAAAGTCTGCCGAAGTTCATGTTTGTGCTTTTATTCCATTCTAAAAACCTAATCCTGCTTTTTATATTTACTTTATAAACAAGTTTAGAGCAATCTAAAGCAAGTTACAGAGTGGGTGTATCTATGGATTTGCAGGAGTCTAGCTACACAGGCCCTGTTTCTGCAAGTTACACTAAACCAGAAAAAGCACCTCCCTCCTATTAGCTGGAACAGTAAAAAATAAAATAAAATTTTCCTTTATAAAATAAGTTTTTCCATGAGTCTTCTAGTTGGATTTAAGTGGTCATATGAAAAGATGTTTGCATTATTTCATTTTCAGAGGACTAGATCTCTTTGCAACATGGCCTAATTACTTAGTAGAAAAAATTGCTAATTACTGCAAAGCTGAGAATTTTCACTATGGACAAGTGATAGTCAAGGACATCTCAGAGTCAGCCAGCATAATATTTGTTACTAAGGTATGATCCATCTATCCTAATTATGTTCATCTTGGGCCAGCAGATTAAAATAGTGACCAGAGGCCATTACAGGTGAAAGTGAGGATTGAAGCACTTCTCCAGATACATCCCCCTTGGTGATTCTTTTTCTGCCAATTGTGTCATGTAGGGCAAGATTCTGAAACCTTTGCTCACAGTGCATGGTACCTTACTTCACTAATAGTCCCACTGATTTTGTACAGAGTAAGCTATTACTCAGCGTGAATAAGGCTGTCAGAACCTATCCTAGCAAACAGAAGGATGTAGGCTTCAGGGGGTAACCAAGTTAGTCTATACAGGAAACTTAAAAAACAACAAATGGTCTGGTAGCACTTTATAGATTAACAAAACATGTAGATGGCATCATGAGCTTTTGTGGTATGTCTACACTGCAGCTAAAATCCCACTGCTGGCCCATGCAGGTTGACTTGGGTTTGCAGGGCTTGGGCTAGGGATCTGTTTAATTCCAGCATAGATGTTTGGGCTCAGGCTAAATAACTGAGCTCTAGGACCCTGCAAAGTGGGAGGGTTCTATAACTCAGTCTGTTTTCCAAACATCTACACTTCAATTAAACAGCCCCTTAGCTTGAGCTTGAGTCAGGTAGCACAGGCCAGATGCAAGTGTCTAAATGCATAGAGGCATACGCTATTTCCTGTAACTTTTTTTTGGTAAACCGTCTAGTTTATTTTAATGGTAGTTATCAAAACATGCTAGAGGAAAGAAAACTGTTTTGCCATGAATGCTTTATCTGTTCCTATTCTTGATCCTTCCCTATGGAATGGATTAATTTCTGTTGCCTTGATAGGTGCACTTGTTTGCCCTAATATAGGTTTCTGGGGAAATTTTGTGCCAAATATTAAAAATTCTGCCATGCAAAATTAAAAATTCTGTGCACAATATTTTAAATTCTGTATGTTTTGTCAAAATGACACAATATAATCACACCTATTTCAATTATTTTGGTAATTTATTTCATACCTGTCAGCAAATATCTCTGTAATAACACAGACAACAACAACAAAAATCAGAAAATGTTGTTTGACAAATAGATGCCTTACTAGGCATATTAATAGAGAACCTTGAGTAATTTAAAGTACAATAGAGAAATATATTTCCCGCATCTTTCAGAAGCAGTGCAGACACTTGGGGGAGTCAGGTTATTGGGAGAGCTGAAGAAGAGGGAATTAACTGCTGGGAAAAAGCCTGGAAGCAAACCTGGAGGTTTGTTCAGTGCGAGGGGGATTACCAGAGCAGCCTCTGTCTTCAGGGAGCTCGGACCCCCCCACAGAAAGGGCTGCTGCCACCCCTGCCTGATAGAGGTAGCAGCACGGCAGGAGCGGGTCTGCGAGGGGAGCTGGTTTTTAAACTGGCTCCCCTCACGGACCGGCTCCTGCCTGCCACCCCATACTGCTGCCTCTGATAGAGAGGCAGCAGCTCTAGGTGGCAAGAGGCTCCCAAGGAGTGGGGCCAGGAACACAGCCCCCAGAGATATAATCGTGTAACTGCTAAAATTTGATACGGTTACGTGACTATTCAATTTCACGATATCTAACATCCCTAATATATTGTCACTTGGCAACAAAAAATCATATATAAAATAATTTGGAAGGCCATTCTAGATTCCAGAGGCTTGATTGTCCTTGTTCAATGTATTACTACTGAACAGTTGCATTATAAAGGTCTAATGTAAAGCCTGTTGAAGTTGATGGAAAGATTCCCAGTTACAAGAACCTTCTGACAATAATGATAGAAATGTAGCTGTGTTAGTCTGACACTTTACGCCTAAGTTTAAACAAAGACATTAATTATCTTACCCATTACAAAGACAGCTTCCCTAAATATCACATCTAATATCATTAGCTCACAGACATTTACCTTCCCCCCTCCTCCCATCCCCCTTCTGTTCTGAAATTTAATTTGTCTTTTTCATATGTGTTCATTTTTTTAAATTGTATCCTTTGGTATATATGGTTGTGACAATTTTCTTCCACTATTTGATCTGAGGAAGTGGGTCTGGCCCACGAAAGCTCATCACCTAATAAACCATCTTGTTAGTCTTTAAAGTGCTACATAGTCCTGGTTTTTGTTTCTGACAATAAGTGTTCTCTGATTTCACAAGCAGCCCTACTATCCTCAGTGGAACTGCTCATTTGACTAAGGGGCTATAGGATTGGTTCCTGCAAGCAGACATGTTTGCTATATAATTTACAGTATGAGCAGTACAATAATCTGTATAGGGAAAAGACCCTTTCCCAGAGATGGGATTGAGACTTCTGAGAGGCTCTGATGGATTGAGCATGGGGAACTCGGTTCTTATCTTGGCACTGACAATGAATTAATAAGTAATTTGTCCAAGGCCACACAGCTTTTCTGTGCCTCAATTTTTCCATTTGTCAAATTAAAATATTTACTTTGTTGCCTACCTTTGGGAGAAAGAGGTTGCAAGGATTATGTAAACAATGCTTGCACAACATTTTGGAGACCTAAAAGTTCCACAAGCATTAAGTATTATTATTGAATGAAAGCCTACGGCTAATATAATATCTAAGTCACATGACAAATCAGAGGCAATGCTTCAGTGTTGACTATTTCCTCTCCATCTCTTTTACTAGGGGAAATGTGAAGTTTTACGTCTGGTTGATCTCACTACTTGCCCATCCTATCACAAGTGGATCAGTCAGCAAATGGATTTTCCCAAACCCAGTCCACATTACTCTATGGAGACTGGTGTGTTATACTAATTTCCAGACATATATAATATGGAAAACTTCAGCATTACCAGCCTGTAACTTATTAGTTAGTGACTCATAACTCTGTGGTGTTCTTATCTGTAGTTTTGTTATAACTTCATAGGTTTTAAAGACAAAAGAGACTATCATTATCTGATTCTGCTCTGGCTTCCTGTATGACACTGGCCAAGTTAGAACACAGCAGTGGGAGAGGGAGAAAGGGGAGTTGCAGATGCTCCCAAAATAGAATCTAGCCCTAATTCTACACTTTTCAGAGTTACGTCCTTTGTAAGGATGTAAGACCCTGACTCCACAGGTGCTGGAGAAAATTATGGGTGCTCAATACCCACCGGCAGCCCTGCAGATCAGCCCCTCCCCACCTTCCCATTGTCTACTGTCACCAAGATCAGCTGTTCAGTGGTGTGCAGGAGCAAGGGCAGGGCATGCTTGAGGGAAGGAGCAGAATGGGACAGGAAGAGTCACGGAATGGTGAATCAGGGGTGGGAAAAGGTGGAGCAGGGATGGGATAGGCAGGGGTAGGAGTTGGGCTTGGGACAGAGCAGCTTTGAAGCACCCTTGGGGTAATGAGGAAGCCAGCACCTGTAGTTACAGCTGTCTCCAAGGCATACCAAGAAGGCTAATGGCATATTAGGTTGCATTAGGAGGAGCATTGCCAGCAGATCAAGAGATGTCATTATTCCCCTTTATTCGACTCTGGTGAGGCCACATCTGGAGTATTGTGTCCAGTTCTGGGCCCCCCACTTCAAAAATTATGTGGACGCATTGGAGAGGGTCCAGCGGAGGGCAACCAAAATAATTAGGGGGCTGGAGCATATGACCTATGAGAAGAGGCTGAGGGAGTTGGGTCTGTTTAGTCTGCAGAAGTGTAGAGTGAGGGGGATTTGAGAGCAGCCTTCACTTCCTGAAGAGAGGTTCCAAAGAGGATGGAGAGAGGCTGTTCTCAGTAGTGACAGATGGTAGAACAAGGAGCAATGGTCTCAAGTGGTGGTGGGTGAGGTCCAGGTTGGCTATTAGGAAAAACTATTTCACTAGGAGAGTGGTGAAGCATTGGAATGGGTTACCTAGGGAAGTAGTGGAGTCTCCATCCCTAGAGGTGTTTAAGTCTCGGCTTGACAAAGCCCTGGCCGGGTTGATTTAGTTTGGATTGGTCCTGCCTAGAGCAGGGAGCTGGTCTTGATGACCTTCTGAGGTCTCTTCCAGCTCCATGGTTCTATGATTCTATGATACAATGCAGTTGGTCAAAACCTAGTTTTCTCAGCTCCCATTCTTGAAAATCGTATTTGTATCAGCAAAGAGTTTGGTGGTTTTTTGTTTTGTTTTAGTTTGTTTTAAATTGTGTCAGTGCCTTTGCTGGGGAGTTGACAATTCACACTGGTTTCATTGGCCTCTAGTTTGACAGCTGCATTGGTGATCAAGGTATTATCAACATTTTATAATTAAATAGCTTGCCAAGTCACAGTCCCGCAAAGAGAGCTGCCTGTGACCACTCTAGTGCCCACTCAGGATGTTAGATAGCGTGTATCTGAACAGTCATGTAACCGCATGAAATGTTAGCAGTTACAAGATTCTTTGTCCACTGGGGTGGGACCGGCAGTCAGGGTACTCCAGGCCTACTCCCAGGGAGTCCTCTGCCACCCTGTGCTGCTGCCGCCTCCAGCAGGCAGGAGCTGGTACCCGAGGGGAGTCAGTTTTAAAACCAGGTTCCTACGCAGACCAGCTCCCGCCTGCTGCGCTGTCAGGCAGCAGTACAGGGCAGCAGCAGCCCCTGTCCATGGGGGGTCCGAGCAGCCTCTGTCTGTTACAGGCCCAGCCTCGCCGCAGAGAGAGGCTGCTCCCTGGGATGCCAGAAGAGCCTGTGTCTGTGGGGAACTTGGACTTGCTCACTATGGATAGGGGCCCGCCGTGGATGGAGGCTGCTTTGCAGCAGCCTCCCCTGTCCCCATCCCCCACTGCTGCCTTTAATAGAGGCAGGAAGGGGGAGGCGGCATCACAGAGCCTATGCTGGAAGGAACCAGCTTTTAAGCTAGCTCCCCCCAGTACTGGCTCCTGCCTCCCTCGCCCTCGCCCTCCCCTGGTGCCTCTGTAGAAGGCAACAAGGAGGGGGGCAGGTGAGTCCGTAGAGCTGGCTCTGCGCATGTATCGGATCCCGCCTGTTCCCCTCACCCTGCGCACTGCTGCTTCTCTATCAGAGGCAGCAGCATGGAGGTGGGTGAAGCAGGCGGCTCCATGAAAGCCAGCACCCAACACCCCCTTCCCTTGCCTCTGAAAGAGGCAGCAAGCGGGGGGTGGGAAATGTGTGTAATCAACAGGATTAACCAATAAGCTGAGGCTTATCGGTTAATTGATTAATTGTGTAGTCATCTACACGTTGAAATCCCTAGGGCCCACACCATGTTCTATTGACTTCAGCAGGTATAAGGGCCCATGCTGCTGGATCACTTTATAAAACTGAATAATTTTGCTTTGAATAGTTATAAAAGAGTTTTCATTACTTTTCTTCACAGGCATCACAGGCAGAAAAAGATTCAATAATTTTATGTGGAAGTCCTTTCCTGTACAGGATCTGAGTAATCTAAAATCAATGTATGTTCTGCCTTTTAATCATCAGAAGGATGAAAATTTGGAAAAGCAGGATGTGGCTTTTAATAGGAAATATAAAAATACACCCAGAAAGCTGGAGAAACAGGACAGAGGTGACAGCATAAGGTAGGATAAGTTACAGGTCCCTCCACTGATAACTGAGCCACAGCAATAAAAGTAGATGTGCCGGGTTTGCTTTATACACCAGGATATTAAGTAAATTAAATGAAGTTATATTTCCCAAAATATTTCTCAGATCCATATAATGGACCCACTTCCCATCTCACTAATGCTTAAAGTTGGCCAAAGGCACTTGAATAAAAAGAGTTTTGTTTTTTTTAAATAGCCTTTTTCACATGTGATTCTTTGTGTTGGTAAATTGTCAATGTTCATTTCTTTTCTCTTTTAAACAATTTTCTGCTTTTTAAACTTTGGAAATATTAATTAAAAACATCAAATATATTGCATTTTTATTTAATGCAACAAAAAAATCAATTTTTTATTACAAATATTGGGGAGAATTAAGAAATAAGAAAAATGGGTCATTTTTGAACACTTCAACATGAGAACTTAAAAATTTATCACTAGCAAGTTTTAATGTTTCAATCAATTCTGCTTAAAATGCTGGTAGAAGGAGCATTTCATTGAAGCAAATGTAATTATTTTGATGTAAACTGAGATTGAAATCAGGCCCAATGTTGCATGCACAGAACATCTTTTACATAGAAAAAAAATCTACTTCCTATTATATATGTCTGCAGTGTGTTTCATTGTAAGGAGACTGGCATAAAAACTTGGATACCAATGAACTGACTAGACATATAATTTTTGTGTTGGTGACAGTAATAGAAAAAGGGAAACAGGATTCAAGTAGCTAATAACCAGATCGTTTTCATATACATTGAGTGTGATGGAGAGACATCCAAGAGATAGACAGGTGGAAATCATTGACTGCACACAAGGCTGAAAGTTGGGGTTAGAGAGAGAGAGTTGCCAGCATAGAAGTAGCAGTTAAAGGTATGTTAAGGAATATGTTGACCCATGGAGAGACTCTAGAACAGTGTTTCTTAAACGTTTTAAGATTAAGAAACACCAAACAATTTTTTTTAATGGGGAATACGAAAGGTTTTTTTTGAGGGGGGGGAAAAAAAGTCAGGGGGATAAAGGGGGGGGTTGGAGTTATTGAGAGAGAAAAAAGATCGTCCTTTAAGGGTGGCTATTTTGAATTCTGTTGTTCTCCGTGGCACACCTCCAGCTGCCTTGCAGCACACTGGTGTGCCACGGAACACAGTTTAAGAAAAACTGCTCTAGAATGAGAAGAGGGAGTGCAGAGCACTTGGAGACTTAAACAGGGAAAGGGAGGGAGGAGGTAGAGCCTCTAGAAAGTTGCTCCCAGAACAGTTAGAAGGATAAGACGAAAAGCAAGAATGTACCAAGCTAGAGAAAAACAGTTATATTGCTTGAGATGATATCACAATAAATACCCGTAAAAGATGGTTCAAAATAAGTTAATGTTTTTATAGATATGATGACTTCAGTGATGATGAGAGAGAAGTCGTTCAGAAAGAAATATTAGGGTTGTTCCAGAATAAACTAATTCTTCTCACACCATATGGAGAGATACCCACTGCAGTTGCTACAGCAATTTACACTAAGGTTGATGAAGTGCACAAAGGGGAACTCCTGGTGAGTAGGAGAAGGGCAAGTTGCTCTAATAAACTTATCTAGCAGCAAAAATTCTTTGGACCTCACAGTCTCACAAACTCTGAAAGGCCACATATTCCTGTTCCTCCAAATGATGTGAAGCAGAGAACTTGTGTAGATCAGCTCTTCATGTCCATGGTCCATATATTTAGCAATCATTCCTGTAGTAGGAGACTTCTGTGGGAAGGAGACGACATGGAATGCTTTGAGAAATTCTGCACCTGCTGAAGAGAACACATTGTCCCAAAGAATCATATGTATTCTCCAGATCTGTAGATCACAGAAAACCCTCAACATTTCCAAGGTTGGCTGCTGTAGAAGCTGTTGCCTGTTAACTCAAGGCCATATGTTTGTTACCTTACATAAGAGCTGACATAAGATGAGTGTTGTGATATTGTCTCATACTTACAGAGCACAGTGAGGGATGATGCCAGACGACCTCATAGAAAACAGTTTCAACATAACCACAATCTCTGGATTTTGTGTTGCATTTATTAAGGTAGCCAGGGAAGAGACATACTCTGACTCAGTGACCTCTACTTGCCTTGGCTATCTCTGCTGACAGAAATCCTATGGAATACAGGCCAAAACTTACATCTGCTTCCCTTCTGACAGAAACCATGAGGAAGAGCAGCAAGTGATAATATGCCAATTGCTCTTCCTCAAGTTGAATTTCCTCTGGTAGTCCAGGGTGGTGCACAGATGTGGTAATTGGGACCTCCCTGCCCTGGCTTGGGTGGTTCTTCTAAACAATGTTTATACAGTAGCAAAATTGCCTGCAAGAAAATGTCACTAATAGCCAGAAAGAATTTCCAAAATTACAAATTCTCAAACTGCCCCCTAAATGATTAAAAAAAAACTTAACTGTCAAATTCTGGACTCCTCAACATAACAGTAACACTCAGATGTGCATAGATATATGATGATGTGCAGATAGCTTTTTATTGTTTCATTTACCCCTCAGGGGATAAGCCAGCATCTTCTACCTGAAGATAAGCAAGATAATCGGAGTATGGTTTTGGTCAGTCAGGGAGCTGAGGTCATTCGGTTGAAAAAGGAGAAGTTTGAGAAGTTAGCAGATCATATAACACTAATGAAATTACACAAAAAACAGACGACGTATCCCAGGTAAGTGAAATGAACATGACTGGGTAGATAAATGTACCTATGAACTAGCACTTAAAAAATAAAAGAGCTTGTTGACTACCATTTACCCAAGCTCATTCTCATTTAATTAGAATTCAAGGGTGAAATTTTGTTTCTGATGAAATCAGTGAGAGTTTTGCCATTGAATTGAAATGGAGTAAGGCTTTCACCAATTGTCTTTGATCCTTTCAGTGACGATGAGCTGTGTCAAAGCTTTCTGGAACAAAACCACTGGAAAATATTCAAGAAAGATCTGATGAATCTTTTACTAGAGCGAAAACTCATGATGGCAGGTTCTCAGCATGTGAAGCCAAAGAAAGATATTTATAGTTCCTGGAGTATGAACCAAGCAGGTATTCTAGACCTGACCTCTACCCATCCTCCTCCTTCAAAAAGCATTCACCGACAACAGCACAAATATGTCCCCATCCACATAGGACAGGAAAAGGATTTTGCAGGTTTGCCAGATATTCAGCTAAGGTTGATTCATGGCATTGCTGTACCACGGCCTAGTTTGAAAGGACTGTTCTAACAAGTGTGAGGAAACCAGGTCGGCATCAACAACACAGATGCAGCATGAGAAGCCAAAAAGTGAAACTGCAAACGTTTTTATTTGAATTGTACAAAAATATGTGAAAAAAGTAGTTTTCCCCCAATTTCTATGTAACAAGTGGTTCCTCCATGGATTTCTGCTGTGAACTCTGAAGTGAATTTATTTTTCACTGTGGTAATTGCATTTCTAGTAGCTTTGAGAAGGAAACCCTATTTTTACTGCTTTGTTTTTCTTTGCAAGATGGCTATTTTTAGATAAGGTTAAGATTTTTTGTTTATATTTGATCCTAAGATACTTTCACATTCTAAATAACGTAATTAATACAAATAAAAATAAATTGAACAAAGATTTCAACACTTCTCTGAGTTCAGTTGATCAGGAAGCCATGGGAAGTTTAAAGTGTTTATTGACTACAGCTGTAGTTTTTGCTGTGCTTCAGTACATGGGAGGGTGAATATGGCTTAAAGCTTATATACTGTTGAAATGTGCTTCACACCATTTTATGTGTCTGTTTCTAACACTGCAGGTACATTTAAGTTTTCAAAGAAATACGAAATAATTAAAACATTTCTATTCACATTTTTTTAAATCTGTATAATAAGTGATCATTATTATAATAGGTTAGGTTTTAGAAATATATAAATCAAGTGAAAAGTTGTGTTCTTTTTCTGTGTCTATTCTCTCAAAAGCAATTTTGAGAATTATTTGCCATTTATGTCAGGCATGCACCAGTAAAATATATTTTTGGTATCTTTGTCAATATAAAACAGACTAAGGCCCTGATCCTACAAACATTGACACAAGAGCTTAATTTACATGCTGTGAATAGTCCTCCTGATTAAGTCAAATGACTTCTCATGGTGCAAAAGGTTAAGCATGTGGATAAGTCCTTGCACAACCAGGGACTAAGCTGTATGAGTGTTTTTCTGTGTTTGCTATATAATGCAGTATATATGAAAATGCATGTTTCCTGAGGCTGAAAATGATCAGGCAGTATTTTTATCTCAAAGGATGGGAATAAGTTAGTAAGACAAGATATGTTTTTAAAGAAAGAATATCTGCTTAAATGTGTTTGTACAAAGATTAGATTTCCAAGAGAATCAGTCTGAAATGAGAAAATCCTGTCTCTTGTCATTTAACAATTTTAAGTATGAAAAAGGCAAAATGTGAGGTGAAGAAGCATGTTGATATCTCAAAAGGAAAACAGTTTGAAGAACTGATGAGTCATTGAATCTGATGTTATAATTTATGTGCGTAAGAACGGCCATACTGAGTCAGACCAAAGGTCCTCTAGCCCAGTATCCTGTCTTCCAACAATGGTCAATGCCAGGTGCCCCAGAGGGAATGAACAGAACAGGTAATCATCAAATGATCTCTTCCTTTGTTACCCATTCTCAGCCTCTGATAAACAGAGGCTAGGGACACCATTCCTACCTTCTGGCTAATAAACATTGATGGACCTATTCTCCGTGAATGTATCTAGTTCTTTTTTTAACCCTGTTAAAGTTCTGGTCTTCACAACATCTTCTGGCAAGGAGTTCCATGGGTTGACTGCACTGTGTGAAGAAATATTTCCTTTTGTTTGTTTTAAACCTGCTACCTATTAATGTCATTTGGTGACTCCTTGTTCTTATGTTAAGGGAGCAAGTAAATAACTTTTCTTTATTCACATTCTCTACACCAATCATGACTTTATAGACCTCTATCATATCCCCCTTAGTCTCCTCTTTTCTAAGATGAAAACTTCCAGTCTTTTTAATCTCTTTTCATATGGCAGCTATTCCAACCCCCTACTCATTTTTGTTGCCCTCTTCTGAACTTTTTCCGATGCTAAGATATCAAGATGAGGTGACCACAGCGGTACACAGTATTCAACATGAGGGCATACCATGGATTTATACAGAGGCAATAAGATGGTCTCTGTCTTTCTTCTCTATCCCTTTATTAGTGATTCCTAACATTTTATTTGCTTTTATTGACTGCTGCTGCACATTAGTGGATGTTTTCAGAGAACTATCCACAATGGCTTCAAAATCTCTTGAGTGGTAATAGCTAATTTAGCCCTCATCATTGTATATGTATAGTTGGGATTACGTTTTCCAAAATGCATTTTTTAGCATTTATCAACATTAAAATTAATTTGCCACTTTGTTGCCCAGTCACCTAGTTTAATGAGATCCTTTAGAAGCTCTTCACAGTCTGCTTTAGTCTTAAGTATCTTGAGCAGTTAGTATCATCTGCAGATTTTGCAACCTCACTGCTTACCCCTTTCTCCAGATCATTTATGAACTAGGAATGTTAAAATTAGATTTTAGAATTGGAATTTCCATCGACTATTTGATTAGTCGATATGAGCGCTTCCACTTTGAAATGTAGCAAGAGTCCACCTGGCTGTTGCTACATTTCAAAGGCAGAAGTGGCAGCATTTCACCTTTGAAATATACAAAAACCCCAGCTGTCCCCAGGCTCCACCTGGTGCTTCTGCTTTGAAATGTACAAGAGCCCCATCAGGGACTCTTGTACATTTCAAAGGTGGAACGCTACTGCTGTTCCCCTGCCCCCTCCCATGGAACTAGAGCTGGGGCAAACAGGCTTTTAAGCTGGCTCCCCCCAGCACCTCCTCCCCCCCCTTTCCTTTTTCTGATAGAAGCAGCAAGGGTGGGGAGTGAAGCGACTAGTCAGTGTGTCGACTATCTGATAAGCTTTTGCTTATCAGATAGTCAATTAGTCACTTACACCCCTATTATGAATATGTTGAATAGAATTAGTTGCAGTATGGACCCCTGTGGGACACCACCAGTTACCTGTCTGAAAACTGTTATTTCTGTGGAAGTTGCATGTGTAAAGACTTTAGGATTATACCTTTAGTTAGGATACCTATAGGAATTCATATAGTAAGTGGTAACATTGTAATAAATCATACTGACAATGGGACTGAGAAAACCTAGATGGTGGATTGGAAAAATGTAGCTTCTGTTTGTTCCAACAGGTTCTATAATTCATGGACTGAAATTTCACTTCTTGAAGGATATTATTCATGATGAATGCAGTATGATGTAAATCTTTGATGTAGGCTGTATTATTCTCCACATGTTAGCTGATCCAGTTTTGAACATGAACAATTAATGCTGACATGCTGTAGTCTAAGGAAAACTAATCCTGAGAGATTGCAACTAAAAAATGCCCAGTATAGCACTGAAGATTCTTGTACTTTGAATTCTCATGTAGCAAAAATGTAAATTTTAGTATTGGTTATAAGACTAGGTATGATATATAATGATTTGATGTATAATGACTTGTTTATAAGTTGTCTGCTTCTAGTTCTCTCTCTCTCTCTATCTCTCATGATTAGATAATGTTACTATAAGGTCTTGCTCCCTGTTAACATTACAGATTAAGTTGTACCCCTTATCTGCATCACAAACTAAGTTGTGTCATTTCTGTTACACCTTGGTTCGGTGATGTGATGGGAGCCTCAAGGGTTAAAACCGACTACCCAGTGAAAACTACTGGATGATGGTGAAACAAATGATATTTATTAAGTGGTCAAAACCAGCAATTAACAAGTAGGTGTTTAAACTAGCAATTGCTTAGTACTTTTACAGCATAGAAAAGCTTGGGCACAATTATACCCAACTGATTACAATTCTTTGATTACAATTCACTTATATCAAATCACTATCCCTAATTCGCCTAAGACAACGCAGCATACAAATAAAAAATACAAAAAACAAAGCCAAAGTAATGATAATAAAAGAACCGTCCAAAGCCAGCCCCTCTATGGTTATTTTAGGACAGCTGGTGGAGTTAGTCATAAATCTACTTTTACAACTTAACAACTCCGGGGCTTCTATTTCTAACACTTATACTTAACCTAAATACAACACTACTATACAACACAAAATTTTACAATTTACACAGCGTGGTTAACAGAACTTAGATACACTTTACAGAATTACACAGTGAAATTAACACAATTTGACTATTAATTAAACCAATAACTAATACATTTAAACAATACTTACAAATCCAGAAACGATAACGACACAAAGACACACTAGAACTCGGAGCATGCTCAGGACTCGTGCACCCCTATATTTGATTCGAAGGGTGGGGAGGCAGCCTCAGGGTGATCAATCCTTTAGCCGGGCAAAAAAAAGACACGTGCCCTCAATACACGGAACCTCCGTCGAACAAAGGGATTGAGGGTCTTTTATACAAAAATTCGGTGTCTG